TTCCAGTGTTCTACTCCTAAATTACTCGTATATCTACTTAATTTACTTACTGCATAAGCTATATCCAAGCGAGTGCAGTTCGTCAAGTACATTAAGCTTCCAATAATTTGAGTATACTCTAATTGAGAAATAATTTCCTGTACATTCTTAGAAAGAAACAAATTAACATCCACAGGTGTTCTAGCAAGATGATCATCATCTTTGCTAAATTTGTCAAGTATTTTCTTAATGTAATAAGATTGTGACAAAGCATAACCTTCTGATGTTTTGGTAATTTTCATACCAGGTATTACATCAGCAATGCCCATATCTTTCATGCCAAAATATTTATTCAACATTTTCTTGGTAGTTTTAATTATGTCATTATTACTACCTATGATGAGTATATCATCCACATAAAGACATACAATGACATAACCTTTGTTTGTGTTTTTAATATAAACACATTTGTCACACTCATTAATTTTAAATCCATTTGACATCATTGCCTTGTCAAATTTTTCATGCCATTGTTTTGGCGCTTGTTTTAAACCATATAATGATTTAACTAATTTACACACTTTCTTTTCTTTTCCTGAAATAGAAAATCCTTCTGGTTGTTCCATGTAAATTTCTTCATCTAACTCACCATTTAAGAAAGCGGTTTTCACATTCATTTGATGAATTTCTAGATTGTACAACGATGCAATAGCAATAAGCATTCTAATGGATGTTATTCTAATAACTGGTGAGTATGTGTCAAAGTAATCAAGACCTTTTTGTCTAAATCCTTTGACCACAAGTCTCGCATTGTATTTATCAATTGATCCATCCGCTTTCATTTTTCTTTTGAAAATCCACTTGTACCCAAGAGGTTTATAACCTAGTGGCAAATCCACCAATTCCCAAGTGTGATTTTGCAGGATGGATTCAACTTCACTGTTTATAGCTTATTTCCATAAAGAAGCCTCAGGACTGGACATAGCCTCTTCAAAAGTTAAAGACTCATTTTCTAACAAAAAAGTTAGAAAATCTAGACCAAAAAATTTTGAGGTTTTAGCACGTTTACTACGCCTAGGTTCCTCTTCCTCATTTTGATCTATCTCTTGCTCTTGATCTTGTTCTTGATCACTACTAGTAATAGCATCAAAAAATCTTTTCTTATTACTAGTCTCTTGTCCAATCTTATTCGGAAACACATGTTCAAAGAAAGATGCATTCCGAGATTCAATAATAGTATTTACATGTATTTCGGAATGTTCTGATTTATGAATCAAAAACCGATATGCATTACTATTCTTGGCATAACCAATGAAAATGAAATTAACTATTTTAGGACTTATCTTAGTCTTTTTAGGACTAAGAATAGCCACTTTAGCCAAACACCCCCACACTTTTAAGTATTTGTTGGATGGTACTCTCCCATGCCATATTTCATAAGGTGTTTGATTCACTTTTTTTCAGAGTACTTTATTAAGTATATAATTAGCAGAAAGTATTGCTTTCTCCCACAAGTTCTGAGGTAATCCAGAACTTATTAACATGGCATTTATCATTTCTTTTAAAGTCCTATTTTTCCTTTCGGCAATTCCATTTTGCTGAGGTGAGTAAGGAGCGGTGGTTTGATGAATTATTCCATGTTCTTTACAAAACTCACCAAAAGGTGATTCATATTCACCACCTCTATTACTTTTAAGGTTTTTTAATTTTCTTACCAAATTGATTTTCAATTTCATTCTTATATTGAATGAAAGTTTCCAAAGTTTCATCCTTTGTTTCAATTAAATAGACATAACTATATCTAGTATAGTCATCTATAAAAGTGATAAAATATTTTTTCCCACCTCTAGTTTGGATGATTTAAAATCACAAATGTCACTATGAATTAATTCAAATGGTTCCGTATTCTTTCAATAGAATGAAAAGGAGTTTTGGATAGTTTTGTCTCAACACAAATTTCACACTTATGATTTAAATCAATGTCAAATTTTGGTAAACATTCCATATTAATTAATCTATGCAAAGATCCATAATTAACATGTTCAAGTCTAGCATGCCATAAATTTGAAGACTTAAGCAAGTAAGAAGAAGATGTAGTTTTTTTTAATAACAGAGAGTATAACAGTCATTACATTCATTTTGAAAAAAGTAATCTGACATGTAATTTTTTCCTACATACATCCCGTGTTTGGTAAGTACAAACTTGTTACTTTAAAAAACTAGCCTAAACCCATTTTTACTCAACAAAGACCCGGAAACAAGATTCTTGTGAATGTCCGGTACATGTAGCACATTGTTGAGAGTAAGTTCATTTTCAGATGTCATCTTCAGAATAATCTTTCATTCTCCATTAACTTTAGAAGTCAAAGAGTTGCCCATAAAAAGTTGTTCACCATTGTCCACCACTGAATAAGATGTGAACATCTTTTTGTTAGCACAGATGTGACGAGTAGCACTAGGGTCCACCCATCATTCTTTAGGATTTTCGACAAGGTTTGCCTAAAAAACAATTACAAAAAGATTTATGTCATCAACAGCATTGGAAATATTGTCCACTTCGGTCACATGGGCTTGAGCAGGCTTCTTGCTTGTTTTTCTTTTGCTTTTGCTACGACAATCTTTGGCCCGGTGTCTCTCTTTGTCACAGATGTAACACTTGCCATTAAACTTGTACCTTTTAGTCTCCCCCTTTTAGAGCCTTGTGATGAACTTTCTCCAGAAAACTTTCGTTTCTTTGCTTTTGGAGCATGTTCCACCACATTTGCCTTTGACTCCATTGGATGCTTACCAGCCCGCTTCTCTAAATTGCGGTTATCCTTTGTCAATCCTCAAACGCACAATTAATTCCTCTAAAAACATTTCTTTTCCCTTGTGTTTGAGGTAATTCTTGAATTCCTTCCAGCCTTGTGGCAATTTCTCAATTAAGGCAGTAACCTAGAAGGATTCTGTCACGATCCAAACCCGTCCCTATGGATTTAGCACCGTAACCGGCCAGTAATTCGAGATTACCGAAGGCCTGCTTAACAGTAAAACAGTAACACAGAGTACATGGGCTGGCAGAAGCCAAAACAGTAATTAAAAGACGTCCAATGAGCTGTGATAGTCTGTATGCAAAAAGACTTTTCATAACATATTCACATTCAGAACAAAAATAGTATATACATACATCATTTATAGGCATTCAGGTTAGGGACCAAATCCCCACCATAATAGTACAGTACAAATATCATTCAGTCTATATATAACAGAGACAGATAGGGTGAATCTGAGACACCCCAAAAGCAGCCTTAGCTTGAACAGATCTGGAACCTCGAAGTGAGGCACAAAGGTTGGCTTGACAAAACAAGGGCTTAGCCTGACGCCTCTAGCAACGGTCCGGTGCCTGAATACCTACATATATATGTGAGTAGTGAGCTAAAGCCCAGTGAATAACATATGCGTAAAGAGGTTAAGAATGAATGTCCTTTCAGTATTGAAAATAGTCATTTATCAGTATATCAGTCATTCAGTTTGTGGCTCATATTTCATGCCATAACAGTCATTCAGAAACTATAATAGTCATATGTGGTACATCCAATAGCAAAACAGTACAGTAGGTCTTAACAGACCGAACAGTCAGTTGATGGCCATCATATTAGTAAACAGTAGTGGTTCCAAACATAGGAACCGACAGAGATCTCTGTGACAGTAGCAGTATAGTACAATAATAGTAAATTGCTATGGATGCCACGAATACAGTTCACAAATAGGACAAACATTCATTCAGTAAGAAATATCATTTCAGAAAGCAGTACAGTTGTTCATTCAGAAAATATTCATGATTGAACATATCTTTACAACATTATTACTCACAGAGCACTGGGCTATAAGCAGCTAGAGCGTTCTCGGATGCCAACCCTACACAGTTACAGAACAAACACACACTAAGCTACACAGTTGGGAAATAATAACTTAATCCCTAATTTGCCTCGGTGTGGTTCTATGACAATATCCTCATTAAGATGCCTTAAACTAGGCTTAGGAGTGCCTAGGATGGAATGAGGATGCAAAGATGCACTTTAAAACACTTTTCAAAATTTTGCTGAACACTACAACAAATTTGGGATTTAAAGACAAAACAAATTTGTCCCAAAATGTACATATTTCATCACCCAAACTAATCATGACAAAAAATTTTCGTCACCCGTTTTGTCGCCAAAACGTCGTCGCTAAAGGGTCTTAGAGACAAAAAAACAAATTTGTCATTGAAAATGATAAATTTGTGACGAATTTTTTTGTCTCCAATACACTCTGTTGAGAACATACTTGTAAGTAATTAACAACAAAATATTTTGTCATTAAAGTAAGAAATTAGAGACGAAAGTATTTTGTCATAAATATAAAAAATAGAGACGAAATAATTGTCACGTTTAATATAAACAAAGACGAAAATTTTTTGTCAAATAAACTACCAATAGAGACAAAAACAAATTCATCATTAAAAATGAAAAAATTGTGACGAATTTTTTGTCGCCAATACACTCTGTTGGGAACATGCTTGTAAGTAATTAGCGATAAAATATTTTGTCATTAAAGGAAGAAATTAGAGACAAAAATATTTTGTCATAAATATAAGAAATAGAGACAAAATAATTGTCATGTTTAATATAAACAAACACGAAATTTTTTTTTCCAAAGAAACTACCAATAGAGAAAAAAACAAATTCATCATTAAAAATGATGAAATAGTGTCAAAAAAAATTCGTCACACATTGAGGGTAATAGTAACAAAATGTGATAATATTTTTTGTCATGACAAATTCATTTAGCGACGAAATAAAAAATTCAAGACAAAATTAATCATCCTCCTAAGCCAAATAAGAGACGGAAAAACCTTCTTTAGGGATGGAACATTTTGTCACTAATTCCATAATATTTTTTTCCACATTATATACCTATTTTATCAAAATCTGAATTTTAGTTCAACAAATATAACCCTGTTCCTGTTGAATATAACAATTCCATCACAACTTAACCTAACCTGTTATCAACATATTTACGATTTAACAAAATGAAAATATCCATTCATCATTACAAATAATTTCATCCTAATACAATAAAATAGTGAAATATCCACAAAATATCCAAAAATTATAACTTGTTCAATTCCACCAAACATCCAACAATAACTAATGCAACTCCACAAAGTATGTGTATCCTTATCAAATAAAAATGAGCATTCAAGCAAATTACATCATTGTTGCACGTCAAAAATGCCACCCCAATCCCATCTGCAAAAAAATAAATTAAAAGCTTTAGCAATTAATCAATTATACAAAAGATTAAAAATATTAGTAACTCATCAATTTACAATTAGATCAATTATACAATTTATCCCTCTAACAAACTTTTTTCGAGATTATGAGAACAAAAAATTAATTTTAAGGCTAATTCACAAATGGTGCAACCCATTAATGTGTCATAAGTTCATACAACTTATATTGGTCCCTCCTAAAGTGTTTCTATTAGTTCACTCTTTATTTACATTGAGTGTGTCTTACCAATAGTATTACCAGCAGTCACCTCAAGTTGAGGCTCCACATTGAGAGGTGGTGGTGGATGGCTAGCCACCTCAGGACGTGAAGAGGTATCCCCCTCTTCTGATGCGTGGGTCAATGCCTCAAGATGAGATTGTGAATGGGCTCTCGATGGTATCTCTAATAGCTGAATAACATAATAAAATATGAATACATATACAAAGATATATATGTTTATGTGTGTATGAATTGAAAGTAACAAGAAAGAATATATTTCACAATGCATAAATGTATAGTACCTCATGCTCAAACGAATCATAGGATTCAGTGTCACTGCCTTTTGACGGTCGATAATCATCGTCATTTTCCTCAATTTCTTATGTTAAACCGCAACCTTCAAACAAGTTGTTATGTTCTTCACTCCTAGAGCATTCATTCTCTCATGATTTTTATTAATTGTCTTCATTTTTTGTTTCTCATAGTTCATTACCTTCTTTTGCGGTACTTGGTTTGGTCAACTGTTTTTTTGTAGTGTCCATTTTGCCCAACTATAAAGCATGATTGAACATTTTTTTGGTAGATAAGCATAATTGAACATTAGATGTAAAGAAAAGATAATTATATATTTCTATACATAAAGCAACAACAATCTCAACAAGTGGATATGCCATATAGGCTCTAAATTATTGAAATATGGCTAGAGTGAGATAGATGATTTTTGTTTTTACCTTTTACATATCATAGAACAAATTAATTATAAAGCCATCAGATACATAATTAGATATATTATTTTCTTATCATAAACCAACTCATAATTGAATTAAATTGTTAATTAGTTCATTCTATTTTGATAGTTCATTCTAGGGTGGCGTCCACTTTAAAATAGTTCATTCCTTTTTTAGTGAATTATTTTGTTCTTAATTTATATCTAATTTCTTAAAATATATTATTAATTGAAACAAATCAAAATATTGTAAAAAATTAAAAGACAAAATTAATATAATTAGAATTATAATTAAGATCAAATTAATGTAACAAATAAATTATAGAGATCACAAGCATAATTTGATGCTTTGAATAGTTTTTCACACTACAAAGGATATATGTATCCATAGAATTTATTATATTTAGGATTTCCATCATTTTTTTTAATATGATATTTATGATCTTTAATATCACAAAATAAAAAAAATAATTACAAAGTGGATCCCAATTAATTGAGAGAAAAAAATGATTAGTTTAATTAAAATTTGGAAATTATTAACTATGATTCTTTTTTTTATTATTATTTATAATTGTAGTTCAAATTTTATCATTTAATTATTATCATAAATATTATTATGTTTAAATTTTTATATTAAATGTAAAATATAGAGTGTCTGTAGTAAACTACCACAGAACAAACTCATATTTGAGTGTCTGTAGTGTTTGTGAAATAGTTCAACTCATATTTGAGTGTCTGTAGTAAATTTTTATATTAATTGTAGTTCATTATTTTCTTATCATGAACCAACTCATATTTGAACTATTTCAAATTCATTATCTATTTTGATATTATATTAAATTGTTAATTACCAACTCATGCAAAATATTAAACTATTAAAAAGACAAACACCTTATTAGTTATATTATTTTCTTATCATGAATCAACTCATAATTGACTTGTTTCGTTTTAATAAATTTGAGCTTATATCAAAATTGAGCTAACACAAACTAGCAGTAGCAGAAGCAGCCCAAAACACCTTATTAGCACAAACCAATCAAGAGCAACCAAGGAAAAAAAGAAAAAAAGAAGCAGGCACAATACTTCATGTTATTAGGCTCTCTCTCTTTTTTAGTTGATCCTTAAATAAATTCTAATTTATCTCAAGTATACAATCAAATTATTAAAATATTTTTAAACATAGAATTCATTATCTATTTTGATATTATATTAAATTGTTAATTACCAACTCATTCAACAGATTAAACTATTAAAAAGACAAACACCTTATTAGTTATATTATATTCTTATCATGAACTAACTCATAATTGAATTGTTTGGTTTTAATAAATTTGAGCTCATATCAAAATTGAGCTAACACAAACTAGCAGTAGCAGAAGTAGCCTAGAAAACCTTATGAGCACAAACCAATCAAGAGCAACCAAGAAAAAAAAAAAACGCCAATACAGCAGCAGGGGCACAACAACATTATAGCGACATTACAAAAAAAAACTCCCTTGTGACACAGCAGCCAACAACTCCAGTGGCAGACAGACCCCAACAACAACCAAAATCAAAGAGGGCAAGAGGTTCAAAATCCACCATCGCAGATTATATACCAGGTCATATGTAAAAAAGATTCAAATCAGAATTTTCATAGTAGTAGCCAAGTGACACATGCATGGTATGACTTAAATTTGGAAGAAACCCCAATTGGCTTACAACTTTTAACAAACACCTTACATTCACACAATTTGATGGAGCATTCTTGGCTAAAGAGAGGGAAGGAAAGTGGGTTTGTTTGTGTGCATAGGATGGAAATAGAACTATTCCAGGCAAGAAAAGAAAATTACCTAATGCAATGATACAAGATAAAGAATAATAACAATTCATATCACACCCAAAAGCAACAAATATAAGAAGACACCCAAACATGCCTATATTATTCATCTATCTCTCTCTTAGCAAACACCCATTGCAATTATAATTCCCACATTGCAGAAGAATACCATAAACCCAGTAAGTTCACTGAATGAGATAACAACTGACTAACTCCAATTCCAATTCATCTAGGAAAAAAAAAATGTAAATAAATAAAGATAGAGAAGCTCCAACAAATAGTGACAGAAAGAGACAGAGTCCAAAATAACCTATGAATTTTTATTTTTTTTTATGCGATTTCACTTTTAGTCGTGTTTTAACTTGGGAGCTTTGTGATTTACATGTTGAAAGCTATCCAAAAATTGGGTCTTTAAATTATCATGAAATCTGGGAGTTGTTTGGTTTGAAATTTGTGCTCAGATTTTATTTTATTCGCAATGAGAAACCGATAGCTTAGTTTATTTAACAGAGAATAGAGAAAATCCAAGCACTTTAGACCCATTAGAACAACATACCAACAACAGAAACAAAATGAAAATATCAGAGAAAAAACCTAGGGTTCCTAATGGGAGGGAAGAAAGGGAAGGAAAGAAAGATACATGTGTACCGTAAGAGTCCCTTCCAATCAGATTGTAGAAGAATGCTTCAGCAAAGAGCCGGTCCGTCTGCCGTGGGTTGCAACGGTAAGCAAACCAGAGAAAGAGCCGAGGTAACAAACGAGATAGATGAAATTTGATGGTCTTGAATATCCACAACCCTTCAACTTCTCAGCCAAATTGTCTTTAGAGGTATGTTCTTTGTGAGGAAGTTTTTATTGTCTATAATAGGCCCAATTTTTTTTATTTTTAAGACAAAATAATTTGTCACCCATCGCCAATTTTGGGCGGCCTTTTTTTTTTTTTTTTTTTTTTGTGTGGTGCCAAATATTTGGCTTCTTTTTGTGACAAAAATATTTTTATCTAATTTTTAAAAGAATTTTCATTCTTATTCCAATTTTTTATCTAATTCCAATGCTTCATCTTTTTAAATTTTTATCAAATTATAATTTGATAAAAAAAAATATTAAGGGTTGAAGATTCTCTTAATTGGAATTATAGTGAAATAACATCTTGAAATAGTAAAAGTTTGAGTATGTGGTTGGTTGAAATGTATAATTTGATTAATTTTCTTCTCATATTTGTATAAAAATTGATACTTACGATCGCATTATTATAAGTCGGATTATGGAAAGTTTTTTGAGGTGTCAAATATTTTTCATTTATAAATATCCTACATATTAAAAAAAAGAAAAAAGAAAAGAAAAAGAAAAAAAAGTGTAACTTTTGGACATGTGTTTATCAATTTTGATTTGTAGATATAAACAACTAATGTTTCAATTTAAAAAATTAAAAAGTAAAAAAAAAAAATAGGTTGGGGTTTTTAGGGATAAAAGAAGCCATCTAACTCCTATATATACTATTTTAAGATGGACTATTTTAATAACATAAAAAAATATAAATTAAATTTGGAGATTGTTCCTATATATTATGCTATTATATACAAATATAGTGGTAACAAATTAATTAATATATATGAAAATTTATACTAAGCTTTCATTTTCAATTAATTGAATTATTATTAAAAACTAATAAATAGCAATAATGGGTATAATAGGATAGAAAGAGAATAAAAATAAAAAATACAATGATATTTAAAAGTTTTAAATTTACCTAATTATATAAAAATCTAATGTTACAATACAATCTTGAATTCCCAATAAATTTTCACATTTTCTATAAAATAAAATAACAATAAAAAATAAAAAATTCAATACCCATTTTTTTACTTCAATTTTACGGTTTTCATTGAAAAAAATAAAATTCGATCAAAATCCTTGGTACAAAATGGACATTGATACTTCGATTGCAACTATCATCATTGTAGACGCGCCCTCGGGCCTCATGCTACAGTTCGGACTCAATTTGTGTCACGGTCCTGTATCTAATCTCGCAGAGTGCAATGCAAGACCGATGAATCATCAAAGAGTCCAAATCTGCCAAATCGTTTTTGAAAATAGATTTTTTGAAAGAAGTGCCAAACATGGACTGCTTTGCCAGATACAGAGTCGCCACCTAAATATTTTATTGGGAAATTTAGGAAACCCTGACTCGTTGCCTAAGGCCACGTGTCCTCATCACCAAAGTTCTCGGCTCGGAAACTTGTACGATTGGGGAAGGTCAGCTATGAGCACCCCTCTCGCCAATTCGAAGAATCGCCTCTACTAACCATGATATCCGTTTTTAAAAACGTTAGTGTTCTTATTCCGGTTATTAGTCTAGAAATACTATGTTGCGCACAGAAACAAGTATAGACCAAATCGCCTAAATTGGAACAAAAACATTCATGCTTGTTTTGAAAATGTTTGCTACTCGCAAGTAGGCTAAAAATGTAGATTTCGCGACTTCGTGTGGCTTTAGAAAAAATGATTTTGCACTATCTATGGGCTTAAAACTCACAGTTTTAATGCGTTATCCCAATTTAGTTAATTCAACCTCCATCCACAGGCATTCAACATTAATATCACATAAGCAAGCTCATGGTAATCATGCTATATGGCAACACTCACACGCATGCAGTATGCTAAAGCATAATGCTTACCGAGTACTCCAAGCCAGAACAGAGCTATAGTAATCATGGGCATGATCCTAGTTCATTTTAGATGGCTAATGCAATCATGCAAGATGCAACTAACATAGGCTCAGCTATCCAAAGATGCATGTGAAAATGCTACAACTAATAGGTATTCAACTTGGAATGAAATACAAGTGCAGTTAGTATGATTTACCGAGCTCGGTGCATGTAAGACGAATGAATGGATGCAAAACATGCTGTCATACTGTATGCTAATTGAAACATGCCCTAGACTAGCCATCGAAAGCTAGTAAATAAAAGGGAAGAAAGACGTGGGGTTGGGAGACATACACACACTCACGCACACTTATTACACAATTGCCCTCACTCGGAGGGTCCGAATAAATATTACAAACCACCTAATTAATTAACCCTCAAGCTAAATAATTAATTACAAAAATTTCTAATTAATTAACAACTTAAATGCAGAAGAAAGGTGGCCGCAGCCCCACCTCGAGGTGTGCGGATGGTGCATGCTTGACTCGTCTCACCCGGAAACTCGTTGCCATAGCACTGTTGCCTCTAGTTGCACTGCCTTGCTCCTCTGAAAATTCTCACAAGCCCCAAGGATGCTTATATGGACACTGGGGAGCATCACCAACCGAGTGGGGACATCATCGGCCAAATGGGATGGTCACCGGCCACTGATCAAGCTTATCGGCCACAAATTATTGGTCGGTCGGCACTCTTGGTAGCCGACCGGCCAAAATTTCCTGTAGAACCTGCAGTTGACAGCAGCAGAGGGCAAGCAGTGTATGGCATGGAATTTTTTGAGCAAATGTGAGCATGGACACACTCCCTATCATGCAAGAGACTCAAGGGAGAATGACCCTCGACCCTCGGGCCATCAATTGCGCATTTCGACGCATGGTGGCCTAAGAGGCCAAGTTTGCAATTCAATGTGAATGAATGCAACAAAAGAGATGAGTGCCAACACCCTATCATATTGAAGTCAAGGGCATTGGCTACTGAGGGTTGAGATGTGTTTCGTCACTTGGAGT